CAATGTTTTCAAGCTTTACACGTTTTTCGCAGTTTGAGTTTTTACATGAGACATTTCAGTAAGTTGTACTGTAGGCTTTCTTATAAAATAGGCTACGTTTTGATGTTAATCAGGGTTCCCGCGGGTCCTTAAAAAGTCTTAAAATGTCTTAAATTTACTTTTATCAAATTTAAGGTCATAAAAAGTCTTAAATTGTACAAGGAAGTCTTAATTATGATTTCAAGAGGTCTTAAATTTGGGTACAGACCAGAATTGCGATACAGTTTAATGTTACGATTAAAATTCAAAAGGCTATGATTTTACTAAATAAATATGAGCGCTGCACGTTTCAAAGTCCGGTGCTGCGCTGCTTTGCGTTCTGCCTCGCGTTCTGCCTCTACCGGGGAAACAGATCCGAAAGCGCCTGAGAATGAATGTGCATTTTGAATAAAGCTGTTGTTGTGAGTAGGGTTATTCCTGCAATACCAGAGGCTGTAGTTTCAGTTGCATTTCTAGGACCCTATAGATTTTTAAAAAATAATAATAATTTTTTTTTTTTTTGTATGTACAGTGCCTATAGAAAATCTTCATACCCATTCATTTTTTTTTTTACATTTTTTTTTGTGTTGCTAAACTGCTTTAAATTACTTTTTTCCCCCACATAAATCTACACCCCACTCACAATAATGACAAAGCAAAACCCAGATTTAGCACAACTTTGCAAATTTACTAAAAAGGAAACACTGAAAAAAAAATGACATTGCACAAGTCTTCATACCCTTAACTCAAAACTTAGTTGAAGCACTTTGTCAACAATTACAGCCTCAGGTCTTTTTGTGTATGATGCAACAAGCTTTGCACATCTGCATTTGGGTTTTTTGACATTCTTCTCTTTAGATCATCTCAAGCTCTGTCAGGTTGGCTGGGGGACCATCGGTGGACATAACTCCAGTCGGAGTATAGAAATTGTGTCTGTGCGAGACTTCAGTCCATTAGCCGCAGCGCAGCTTCACGTCTGATGTGTGACCCACTTAAAGTGCAGTAAACGGTAAAACAATTGCGCTACAAATTAGTGTGATTATTAGTACTTTAATAAATGTAAAATAATTTGAATACAAATACTAATTTACAACATCTAGCAGCACAATGAACTGTTTTGCACAGCTAAATAGGCTAAATGGAGATTGCTGACACCCCCTCGAACACTGAACTTCATGCTAGCTCTTGCATTAAAAATTAGATGGAAAGATAAAAAATGAATAGTTTCCATAGATCTAGTCTTTGCATCAGTTTGTTTGATGTTTGAATCAGGTCTCCTCTGTTGGAATAGAATTGGCTAGTTGGCGCTGTCCCAAAAAATAGGGTCCTAGAAATGTGGTCCTAAACTGCAGCCTCCAGTCTTGCAGGAACATTGGGTTGTTTTTGGTTCAGACTAATGTGAAACTCGACCCATGTTTTTACCCTGCAAACACACAGAGCTGTAAATCTGAACTGGTGGATCGATAAGAAGATAATTCGTTATAAAAATCTAAACAGTAAAATGTGTTTGTATGTTATTTAATGAATAGAATAATTTATTGATAATAATTAATACTTTTCCATTTTCTTAAAAATGGTTTAAAGGCTGAAATGTGAACTGTATAATTTTATAAAACTTTTTGTTTTTGTGAAAACTTGTATCTGAACTGTAAATCATGCTTTTTACAGTCATTTTACAGTTTAATAGTTTACCATAGACATTGCCCTACCCCGCTCATATGGTATTAATTTTATTTGTGCAGGTTTTGTCTTAAATCTCATTTTGTAAAAAAAACAAAAAAAAACGTGAATTGAATCGTGAGTTGAGTGAAACGTTACATCTCTAGTATCAACTAAATTAATCTTTGCAGCGCAGAGGAAACACAGAAGCTGCATCTGAAGAGGCGTTTAGATGTGTTTACACACTGTTTAATGCAGGACATGAATGCTTTAACCTGCAGTTACACATGCATTAAAAATGTCTTGATATATTAAACATTAAACTTTGAATACTGTTATTTAAAATTATTTAAATAATAAAAAGAAACTTTAAATGTGAAATTAAAACCGCCAGCAGGTGGCAGCAAATCACTGTTAATAAGTGAGTCACTGCGATTGAACCGAATCATTTAAACGAGTGATTCATTCAGGAACAAAACACCGTCATGTTGCTCAGAGACGCAGAACAGTGCTGTGGCTGTGTTTGGAATTATTTTTATTGGCGAAATAGTGCAAAAACAGGAAATAGAGTGTCTAAAACGTAAGTCTCTTAATAT